GCACCTCTGGATGAGAAGAGCCTTGCTTTATTACTGAATTATCTTCATGATTTCCTCAAGTATCTGGCGAAGAATTCAGGAACTTTGTTTAGTGCCAGTGATTTTGAAGTGGCCCCTCCTGAGTACCATCGGAAAGCAGTGTGAGGCGCTCTCACCCGTGTTTGGATCTCTGTCAACATCTTTTGTTCCTAGTCCTTCTCTTGTACAAATGATGTACTTTGAAGATGTTAGTGTACAACAGAGTTGATGTTTGTTTTGATTTTAAACAGAGAAAATAAAAGGGGTTGCAGCTCCTTTTTTCTTTTTTCTTTTCATTTCAAAGTTGCTACCAGTGTATTCAATGATGGACAACAAAGAGACATGGTGTAGTGTTTTATTGCCTAGTTGACAAAGCTGCTTTTGAATGCTGGTGGTTCTATTCCTTTGACACTACGCAACTTTAAAAAACATGTTAATGCTATATGACAAAATGCTCTGATTCCTAGTGCCAAAGGTCCAATTCAGTGTATATAACTGAACACACTCATCCATTTGTGCTTTTTTTTTTAAACGGTGCTTAAAGAGCCCATCCTTTGCAAGTCATTCATGTTGTTCCTTAGGCATTTTCTCTTTTCTCAAATTGTTGAAGAATGGTGAATTGTTTCATGGTTTTTGTATTTGTGTCTAATGCATGTTATAACATGATAGATACAGTGCATTGTGTAGCTACAGTTTTCTGGAAAAGTCAATCTTTTAGGAATTGTTTTTCAGATCTTCAATAAATTTTTTTCTTTAAATTTCAAAAAAAAACCACCTACCTCTGGACACATAAAACTTTTGGGGGACATTTTGGATCTATACTAGAGCATTATGAAATAGTGCTAAAGAACTAAAAAAACAATGCCTTTGTTACGGTTTGTGTTTAGATGTACCCCCAAAGCCTCATGCAGTCATAGGTGGGGCTTTTACAGAGTCTATAATGCTGCAACTGACTCATGGTGCACTGCTAGGCTCAAGGGCACTAGGATTAAGGGTGTGAGTGCTACCCACCCTAAGTAGTCTGGATAAGATAGAAGGGATAAAAAGAGCTGTGGTCATCCCTTCCTTGCTGTCTTCTGCATGCAGTGAACAGTTTCTCCTCTGCAATGCCTTCTGCCATGCCACCTTGCTTGGAGCCAGCCGATTATGGACTGAAATTGCTACAAACTGAGCTATCACAAGGACCCAAGTTCGATCCCCAGTACCAAAAAAAAAAACAAAAAAAAACCTGTGAGCTAAATAAACCTTTCCTCTCTTAACTTGTGAGTGTCAGGTATTTTGTTTCAGCAACAAGAGAAAATTAACCAAGACAGCCCTCTAACTCTATTACCATCATTTTACTGCAAGAACCTGACCTACAGTATCTGCTTCCTAAATTATCTTTCCACATTTACTCTTGCTCTTTTCCCCCCAAAAAATACTCCAGCTGGAAAGAATATATATACATATATACATACGTACATATCATGTTGTTTTAAGTAAGCTTTCCATGAATTCTCATTAACTCAGAAAGATAATACTTAATCTAGTCGGTAAGACCCTTGGGACATCAGATCTGATCCCTGTGCCCAATCCCAGGCCTTACACATTTCTTTCTGTTCTCTGACCCCTGCAACACTAACCATCACTCAGTTTTTCCAATACCCCAAGCTTCTCCCCATCTTAGGGCCTTTGATACATGTTTCTTTTTCTTTCTTATCCAATTTCCCACCCTCCATCCCAGCCTGCCTGGTTATCCTACAGGTTTGGCTCAAGTGTTACTGCTCAGAAGAGCTTTCCCTACCACCTCTCTACCAGTGCTACCATCAGGCTTAGGGCTCCCAGTCACAAGCTGTCATAACACACCGCATCTGATGTTAACCTGCAACAATCATAATTTAGCAAATCATAATTAAATAATCACAGTTGATTTTTTATGAATTGTTACGGTTTATATCCAGGTATTCACCTAGCGCCTCATGTACCCACAGGAAGGGGTTTTGGAATATGATTGTGTAATCTGAATTTTCCTGGTTCTTATCAAACAGAGGAGATTTTGACACGGCCCGCCCAGCTTGTACAGTAAGAGACCATGCACTCAAACAAAATCTTCATTTAGAGAAAAGAGAGTTTATTGCAGAATAGGAAAGATGGCCCAGAGAGAGGACCTGGTTGCTCCCAAAAGTGTGAAAAGGACTCTGCTTTTTAGGCTCCCTTCTCTTTATTTTCCCAACACCCTGCCCTTAGGGCATTCCCACCCTCTGCTTACATATGTATAAATGAAGAGGGAAAGTTTCTTTGTTTGGGTCCCCTTAACTTTCCCACCCTTCCTGCCTTTAGGGTACTCCCTGCTTTCCTCTTACATATGTGAAGAGGGAAGCCTGTCTCCAGGACTGAAAATTTCACTCTGCTCCCAGTACCCACCTATCCCTACCTTATCCATCTGCCTGCAATTGGGCTAGAGGGGCTGAAAACTGACTTGCTGTTAGGAGCCCAGGGCTGGTCCCAAGAGAAGGGTCAATGTGAGCAGGGCCTGGAAGGGTTTCTCTCCCTACCCAAATCTTCTTTTCACTCTCTCTGCGTCCCTCTGCCATGCCATGAGCAGCTTTCCTCTGCCATGCCACTGTGCCATACCACTTCTGCCCTACAGCATCCAGTCTGCCATTGTGGACTATCCTGCCTGTGATCCTGTACGCCTATGTATATATTCTGGTGATAGTAGTTGTTCAATAAATCATTCATGAATGAAGAAACAAATAACAACTCTCTTGACAGAACTCAGGTCACACTGCATATACATTACTACATCCTCTGTAGCTCTATTATATCAGTACTTCTTACTCCATGATTTCAAAATATATAATACTCACAAAAATGAACTACAAATCTAGTTCACTCTCTATTCTTATGGTAAGTCTTATCAACATAGCTTATCACCCAACTCTCTCAGGCCTTTTCCTGAATGAAAGGGTCGCCAAAGAAGGGGGCACACACGGGTGTTCAAGCAGCAAGACTTTATTGGAGGCGGCAGTCTGCAGCCTGCCAGGACTGACTCACAGGAGGGAGATCAGCCACAGTATGGGCTGAACTGGAGGCTTATAGGGGATTTTGTAGGTGGGAGAGCACTAGTCCATTGGTGGGGGTGGGTAATTGGGGCTGGGTAATTGGGGCTGGGGTATATACCAACAGGTTTCTGTCAGGGGAATGGAGCAACTGTTTTCAGGAAGCCCCTATCTTACTGGAACAACTGATCATGAAACCAGTGGGGCAGAAAGACCTTAACTAGGCAGAGTCACTAACAAAGGGAGATCATACCTTAGTTATGGGGAAGTTCCCTGTTCCCTGTGGCTGGAGTGGGGCAAGGGGAAAGGAGAGGAGGGGGCTTGCTCCGTGGGGGCTCTGAAGTACCTAACACCTAGCTAGCTGCCTTGCTCACAAGCTAAATGAACTATTTTTTACACTGTTGTGGTCCAAAACTATATCTATTATGATGGTCTTGAACAAAGTATTTCTTGCTGTGCTTTAACAAGTGTCATTGATTAAATTTCTTCTTTAATACGAATAGGTTTTGAAAGTTTACAGGAACATACTTATGTACTTTATACACTTCATATGAATATTTTTAAAATATCAAATGAGATATATAGAAAAAAAAACACATGTTACTAGAAAGGCAGGGTCAGCCTGGGCTGGTTGCTGCTCTGCATTGTGTGGTGGTTTTAGCTCTTGGATCCTCCCCAGGAAGATTTGCTGAAGGGAGGTCCACAGACAGGGCTCAGAGTCAGAAAGAAAAGGTTTTCAGCAAGCATATTTATTGAGGAACAAACAAAATATACTCCAAACAAGGCTAACTTTTGGGTTTCTTTTTTTCTTTTTTGCCACTGGGGCTCAAACTCAGGGCCTTGTGCTTGCAGGCGGCACCACTGAGCTATATCCCCAGCCCTTTTTTGGGGTGTACCAGGGATTGAACATGGGACCTTGCGCTTGGGAGGCAGGTGCCAGAACCACTGAGCTAAATCCCTGGCCTTTATAAATGGCTAACCTTTATAAATAAGGATAATACACTTGGGAGAGGTCCAAGTAGTCAGAGTTCAGTTCAAAACATGGTACACAGATTGCAATAACGCATTACATGAAAATGAAATGCATAACAGGGATGGGAAGAGAAGGCTCCCTCACCTAGAGAATGGTGACTTAGGGCAAAACAGAAACAGAATAAAGGATAGGTAGGTTAGGTAGAAATGTCATTCACTCGGGCAAAAAATGAACAAAGGGGATCAGAGATGACAGTCTCAAAGCAAAGGAGCACAAAGATACATTCAAAGAAAAGTATAGAACAATATTGCCGGGAGGGCCCTCTATGTTCCAGACAGTTACTATGAAATGTGTCATTCAGTTCCCAGAGCAATAGTAGTAGGATCCCCATTTTACAAGAGGGACATTGAAGTTCAGAGTGTGGAGAGATTTGCCTGAGGCTTTGTCATAGTAAATACAAGAGCCAATATTCAAATCCAAATTTGCGGTCTACTCTACCAAGCTTTGAAAGAGCAAGCAAAGGAAAAATAAATAATAGGTACCAAGTCAAAACAAACACAGAGGAACAAAAACATTAAAAAAGAAATGAGAAAACTTTGCAGTAGAAATGTGTGTGAACTGAAGGCCCAGAGTGTGAATTTATTCATTGCAGAGAGGGCGGGGCAGGAGAGGAGAGGGTTCCTGGAGGAATCTATATTGCACAATCTCGAAAGACAACCCAAGTGAGTCACAGAGTAAACCAAACCTCCGAAAGCCTAGAAAGGCTCCAGAGCGGCCAGGGGGCGGGGAGAGCGACCGCTTCCGGTTCCGGGCGCAAAGGCCCCACGTGTTCCGACCCGTTAGGCCCCGCGCCACTCGGATCTCCGGAGCCACGGTTTCGGCCCGGAGAGGGTGGGGGCGAGCCCGGGGCAGGGGAGGAGCCGCCAGAGCTGCGGGAGCCGTGAGTGCAGAGGGGCCGGGCCGAGCCGGGCCGGTGTGGACGGAGCTGGGTAGGGCGGGGGGAGGGGCCGGAGACCCCGCCCCTCGGTGCCAGGGGACTCGCGCTGTCCGGAGCAAGGGGTATCGGCGGCGTGCGGACTGGGCTGCGGCGCAGTGCCCTCCGCATCTCCTGGCGGACGGCGCTCCTGGGTTCCTTGACTATCCAGCCGCCGCCCTCCGACCTCTCCTGGGGCCTGCAGAAAGCTAGCCCGTCCCTCCTATTGCTTCCCCGGAACCAAGGGAAGAGTGGTCTAGGCCCCTTGATTTTCCACAGCCTTTTCTTTCCTTGCTCTCAGATTCCTCAAAAATCCTCCCAGCAGGCACCCTGCCCCGGAGAGCCCCAACTCCTTCCATCACCAACCTCTCCTCCAGCACATGCAGACACCCTCACCCGTGATCTTATCACCTTTGGCCATATCACCTGTGATCATGCTAGGCTTTGGAGCCCTTCTGGTCTGTGGCTTTTCAGTTGTCTCTCTAACAGCTCCTGAGCTTCCTTCCCCTTAAGCTAGTGGCTGCTATTTCCACTTGCAGAATCCCGCCCTCGCTCCTAACAGCCAGTTGGGCAACTGTTCTCAGCACTACCCTTTCCTCAGCAGGAGTAGATCATCTGCTCCTTGACTGCATGACTAAAAGTTTGTTAATTTCTGTGCCATGAGAAATCACAGTACATCCATGCAATAGTTTATCTTTTCCTCCTGAGCATTGGATGCTCTTATCTCAGGCACTTTAATGACCTGTTTACCTTGGTCTTCCTGCTGGCTCCCCTACCGGAAGCTCTTAGGTCCAGCTCTTCTTGAATCACTTTGGTCCCGCTGGTTCAGTGCCATATCCTGGCTCATACTGAGAGACTAGGCTTAGAACTGTTGCTTTTTCTCTGTCCTAACTCTGCAGGTTATACCAAGGGCAGCAACACTCAGAAGTCATAAGGAATGTAGTGGAGTCTTTCATCCCTCCTCCCTCCTCCCAGCTTCTCTTCCAAGCTGCCCCAGGATCCAGAAAGCCCCTTCAAAAAGGTGCTGGGATAGCCATGGCAGGCTTGTTGGTGAGAAGTGGGTAACAGCAGAGCAGTTAGTGTTTCTGGCCATTTGTCTTGGGTAAATTTTTGCTGTTATTGCCTGGCATGAGAGGGTGGGGCAGGATTGGAGGGAGGATTGGAATTTTTCCTCCTAGGACTAGAAACCTGGGATTCATAATCTTTCCCCCTTTTTCCTCCAGCTATACGCCTTTTGTCTCTGTCCATAAACTGTATTGCAGTAGACACTTCATGAGCACAGCAGGGTTTACTACAGTGTGAGGGACTCTTGGGCATTACATTTATAGATGAGGTAAGTTACGGGTTTACAACATTTTTCTCCAGTTAATTTGATATAGACATGAAATCCTTCTAGACTTTCCTGTTTTCCCTTCCTGTCGCATCATCAGTAAACTCCTTTAATTTGGCCAATGCTAGAAAATGTGGTTCCTTTCTGCATAAACCTCAGATTTACTTCCTTTGCAATAGGAGTGGTTCTCTCACTTATTATCTTAACTTAAAGCACCTACGGGGCTTGTTAAACAGATTATTGAGGCCCAGCCCCCAGAATTTCTGGTAGTAAGTCGTCTCTGGGGCCTGAGAATTTAATTTCTGACAGGGTTTCAGGTGGTGCAGATGCTGATCTGGATTCATAACTTTGAGAACCACTGCCTTTAGCCAAACTTTGTGACATACACATTGCAGAGATTTGGGGATCTGAAGACCTTGTGAGTAATTCTGTGGTGGAAACTAGTAATCTATTCTTTTGTAGGTAACCACTGAAGACTGAGTTCTTTTGTAAAGTTAAGTGTGCTTTAAAAAAAAAAAAAACAGTTCTGCCAGGGATCTCAGTGGCACCATGCCTGCCTTGAAAGTGCAAGGTCCTGAGTTCAATCCCTGGTGCCAAAAAAAAAACACCTGTTCTGAGTGTTTCATTCTCTTTATGCCCAGTTTAAGAGGAGATACTGATAGATTTTCCCTTTGATTTTATTTTTTTCCTTTTTTTTTTTGTGGTACCCAGGATCAAACATGGGGCCTTGTGCTTACAAAGCAGGTGTGGTGCCACTAAAATAAATCACCGGCCCTGATTTTAATTCTTTTGACAGGTTTCCCATTTTGAACATATACATTATACCCATATTGTAGGTTTTTGCTGTGAATTCCCAGAATTGTTAAAGTCCCTACCATTTTTTAACTACCTGGGCTGTTTTAATGTGTGTCTCTGCCCAGCACCTGAAATAATGGGAAAGAATAGTTGAGGCTCAGTAGGTGTTTGTGGATTGGAGAACTTCATCTTCTGCCCTCCTCCCCTCTGAGGAGTTTGGCTTTACTGATGTCCTGCCCCACAGGACAGGCTTTACTGTTATGCCACCTGACTCCCCCAAGAGACTGAAAGAAAGGCTAATAACAAATTCGTACAGCTATTACCAAGAATCATTTGTTACCCAGAAGCCTGGGCACCCATACATTTCTAAATATTCAGTGTTTCTATATCCAGGTTGGAAGAGAAATAGAAAAGGCTGAATTAAATTCAGTCCAGATTTATTGAGCTCCTTTTCCACAAAGTGACAGAGTGGTAGGCATAGGGAATATATCCTTGCTCTTGGACAGAGGTCCCAGAGGTCAGACTGACAACTAAACTCTGACCACACCCAGAACAACTTCCGGGGTTATTTCTCCTTGGTTCAGGTCTTAGTCTGCAGTGGAAATCTTCCTCCTCAGATTCTTCTGGTTCCACAGGCAGGGTGCTATCCTTCCTCATTTATTCTATGCAAGGGGACCTTGGACAAAGCAGAAAAAAGCCACCTAGACCCAGAGCAGAGAGAGCCTGACAGGTAATGTTAATTGCAAAGCCAAAAACATGGTGCGTAACTTTTGAGTTGACTTATTCTGAGTTATCCATATCAACACCTCAAGTCAGGCTGTTTTTGTTACTTCCCATTAAACGATGGTTCCTCTAACTATCTGTGTGATTAGCATTGCCTGTGTTTATTGTTGGAATTAAATACACTTATTTTAATTTGAACTGCCAAATAAGAGCTGCTGCTTTTATCAGGGTAGGCATCAGATTTGATATCCCCACCTTTTCCTGTTTCAGATTAGTTTGTGATATTGTTTCATTTTGTGTGTGTGTGTGTGTGTGTGTGTGTGTGTGTGTGTGTGTGTTATTCTGTTTTAAACTAAGGCATAAGATTGTTCTGCTTTTTTTGGCCAGTGATCAATTCTAGATAATATCTCTTAAAGTTAAAAAGCCTAGGTTATTGTTGGAGATTAACCAATATGGTCATGATGGCCAGGTACTTAACTCTGGCCTATTAAAGTCTGTCTTTAGCTGCAGCCCTTCTCAACTCCTGAGTAAATCTCTCACCATTGTGTGTTGATACAGTATGGACAGTCATTAAACAAGCCCAATATCCTTGTTCCTCTAAAATCCCCTTTTTTAACATCATCAAAAATCCAGATGGTTTCTCAAAGGAAGACCCAGTTCTCTGCCTTTAGTCATCCCCACCTAAAAGTGATGTGACTTGTCGAAGGTTGCACATTTTTATGGGGTAAAGAAAGGTAGACAGCATTGGTGAGGGTAGAAATGTCTCTGTCTTAACATCCTAGGCCTGACTATATAACTTGTAGAGAAACATTTTAATTAGAAATAAAATGAGGTAGTGCTCACTTTGCCATCACATATACTAAAATTGGAAAGAAAATGAATTAAGATTTTTATTTTACATTTTTGTGTTTACTTTTACTCTCAAATGATTTTTTTTTTTTTAATGTACTGGGGGTGAAACTCGGGGCTTTCACATTGAGCCGTTTCTTCTCCTCTTCCTCCTGCCTCCTCTTTCTTCTTCCTTTTTTGAGACAGCTAGTTTGCCTAAGCTGGGCTCTAACTTGTAATTCTGACTCAGTTGCCCAGAGTGTGGGCATCACAGGCATGCATGACCACTTCCAGCTAAAGACCTTTTTATACCCACCTTAAACTGTGGCATCTGGAGTATGGATAGATTTTATATATCTGGGGTTTGTAAACCTTATACCAATAAAAAATTAGAGATACAAGTTTAGAAGGAGAAACAAAATCACTTTATTGGAAAGAGGAGAGAAATGAGGAAATAGGCAGCTAACTTGTTGGAGTAAGGTTGGGAGCCCGGAGCTGGTGCTTGAGGGTCTTTGTTCTTAGCCCCTTTTATTATATGGCAAGAAAGAGACTCTCCCTCTTGAGAGTCCGTTATAACTTGATTGGCTACTTCAGGCTTTGAGACCCCTGATTTGGCCACTGACCTCCACTATCTGTGTCCAAATTCTTCGGTGAGACCCTTTTGGCCTTCTTTGTTTTATCACGGTGATATCTCTGAAATTTATAGCAGAGCCTTACATTCAAGGCCAAGTTAGCAATTAGTAAAGGGATACATACATGTACATTTAGTGCATTAACATGTTGAGAAAATAATAAAATATGTGTGTGTGTACTTATATATAGATGTGTGAGTGTCCAGGTATAAGTATTTTATATACTGAGTTTTTAAATAATATAGCCCCCACCTACTTTGTCTTTTTGTACTTAACTGGAGGTGGAGAGGAGCGAATTGGGGCCCTGGCTCCAAAGCAAGCCAGGCTATTTGTCAATTCTTCCTGCTTAATTGCTCTGTCTAGTAGGGGTTTAACTCTTTCTAGTCAAGGTTTGCCAGAAACCTCACTAAGGCCCTTAGCTTTTCCTGCCTGTCCTCCAGCTTTCCCTACACTAACCACAAAGTCTAGAGGATGTCAGGGCAAAAGATACTTGTATCTCTGCCTACACTGACCTCCTTTGCCACCCACTATTTGTTAGGCCTTTCTGTTTTTATCTTCTCCTTCTTTACACATTATTCTATTTCTTAAAATGTAATAAGCTTTGAGCCATTTCTCTCCCTTGCTATTCAAATATTTTATGAAAAAAAATTAAGTGACAAAAATATTTTAAATACTTCTTGAGCTAGGGAATAAAACTCAGTAGCAGAGCATTTACCTAACAGCCACAAGTCCTTCAGTTGGATCTGTAGCACCTCGAGAGAAAGATAGAGACAGACAGACACAGAGATAAGTTTTCAATAACTTTGCAGCATACTAATGTTAGGCCCAAAAGTTGGGGATGCATTTTCTTTCTGTATGTGTGTGTGTGTGTGTGTGTCTCTCTCTCTCTTTCTCTTTTTCTGGTTTAAGTTTTCATAAGACTTGTTGGTTATTCTCCCTGGGTTAACAGCAAATTCCCTCCTGCCAGTTGGAGGGAGGAGAGAGGGGCTTTTGATATTGGTAAGTAGAAAAATTGCTGATAGGGTCTTCAGCAGGAAAAACCTATCTTTAAGGTTCTGTCTCATGTGTTACAAGGCTTGTATTTAGTATTAGTTTACAGTGTCTTCAAAACAGTGGCTGCTTTTATTTTTGGTTTTAACACTTTTGATTTAATAGTAGTATACAAACCAAGATTTTCTCTGTGCTTTCTGATTTTTTTTGAAGTCATGATGAAATGAATGACTATTTGTCATTTAAATCTTGCCTTCTCAAAATATTTAAAAGAGCTTGAAGGAAAAAGAAGAAAATCTACTGAGTACCTGCCTGTGCCAGACTCTATGCTGAGGGCTCTGTGCCTATAATTCTTAATAGCAATGTGATACAGCAGTGTTAGCCATGTTTCAAGGATTAAGACAGGCTGAGGAGAGTAGTGTCACATGGCTAATAAGCAAGTGTAGGGATTCAATGCCAATGGTCCAAAGCCCCTGCCCATTACATGGAAACATGGTTGAACATCTGTATGTAGGACAATTAAGAATGAAAGAGAACTTTTCCAGTAGAAGGACCATATTGTTGTATTCTTTAGCTTCATAGATCAACAGTATTGGAAAAGAGCATTTAACAGTATTTTTTAGTTTGTTTCTGTTCCAGAACAGTGGGAGGAGCTGTTGAAAGATCCTAGTTGGCGCCAGCGAGCAGCATATTCAGATTTCTGTATTGTGGACCTGTAGTAAAGATATCAGTATCTTGTAGAAGAAATAATTTGAATCTAATCACTGTTTTCTTCTAAGAAAACCTTGTCATTTATTATCTATAAAGACTTTCCCAACAAGTAGCATTTCACAGTAGAAAACTGGATACTGTATTTTTCCATTGTCCCTAGGTTCTTCTGTTCTTCTCACAGGCATGTGACACATTCAGATAAGGGACAGAGACAGCTGAGGTGAAGGTAGTGGTGCAGTCTGGCCTTCTCCATGTCTCCTCCCCAATCATGCCAATGCATCTTCAGAACACACTCAAGATTCCCATCACGAGGTTACCCAGGCTTGTGAAGTATTTCTGCAGGCATTTTTCTAGAGTCTTCTGGAACCAAGTGTTACTTTTCCTGTCCTGATTTTACATTCTCTCTGGAGTATTCTGTTGTCCAGTTTTTATCTCTTTGGACCCCTTCCAAGGACATACACAGAAGAAAGGTGTTAGAATAAGAAAGGCAACAAACTTCAAGGCAGACTTGTAGCATAACACATCCCATGAATTAGAGAATAAAAATATACCTTCTGTGTCTTGTCACTATTAATACTTGACATTTGTACAGCACAGTTAATCTTTCACAGGTCTCAGATAATCCATTGTGATAGGAGAATGGTTATGTGCAGAAAGCTTTACCTTGTATGAGGGCTTTGTGTATGTTTGTGTATGTTATCACATGAAACCCTTAGAGTAGCTCCAGTGACTTGGGGGTCTGGGGTCTTTGGCTACCTAATTTGGTGGTCTGCATCACACTGCCATACCTCCTATCTCTTCCATCTTTCACCCTACCCAGGACTCCTCTACTCCCACTTTTACTGATGTGTTTTTCTTCATCTTACTATTTTAGGTTGTCAAAGTGAATGCAGAACAAGCAACAGGAATCTCAACTTGTGATTTCTGCTGGGCATTTAAAACTGCCCAGCAGATTCTACCTGACACTCTTGTGTTCTCTTTAGAGATCAAAGCCATCTGAGAGCAGCAAAGCCCTCTGTTAGTGTATACATTGTAGGATCCATAGTATGGAATCTCCTCAACTTCATGCTACATGAAAACAGTGAGGGTTTCTAGTCTGGTTCATGGGGCATTGGTTCTTGGAGTTTTAAGATAATAGATGTCCTTTTATTAAGGCAGAAGACCCTATATATTAATTCAGTTATCTCCGCCTACCTTGCAGGCATAGAATATGGGTGGAAAGGGAAGATGTTGGGGAAGCTTTGTCTGCATAAATAATCAGTACTATAGGGCCAGGGATTTAGCTCAGTGTTTTCACCTCCTGCTGCGCAAGCACAAGGACCCAAGTTTGATCCCCAGTACCAAAAAAAAAAAAAAAATCAGTGCTATAGTTGCATTATATTATTTAATGTCTGCTTTTGTGCTTATTAAAGTTGATTCAGTGCTCAGAGGAAAATAATTTCCTTTTCAAATGCCCGATTTTGTGTGACTTGCATTTGGATTACCTCCAGTGCAACCCAAAGATACGATGTGGTCCCATTACTTTTGGAACCACTAAGAATATTCTGTTGTACTCAAAATGTAAACAATACATTTTTCCTTATTTATTTGTCCAGCACACCATTTGCTGGCCAAATGAATACATAAGGATTAATACACCATGCTATCTGTCCTTCCAAAGACAGACTTTAAAAAAAATTCAGTAAGTGTTCTCTGCATCATCAGATATCAAGTGACTACCTGTTCTATGCCAGGCGTGGGGAAGGGCGCAGCATGTCCCAGCTCTTAGAGCTTTCTAGTCCATTAGATCCTGTAGCCAGAGGAGTAGTTTTTGCAACACAGTTCCTGCTGTGATAGGAAGAAGCCCAGTTCCTTTGACAGCATAGTCCCAGGGTTTCACAGAGAAGGCACCTGGAAGATTGAGGTCTGAAGAATGAGTAGAGATAAGAAAATGACGGAGATAGAAAAGGTTAATTGTTACCCAAAAGATAATGCAAAGCTGTTGTCAGATTTTATATGTAAGACAGTTCACTGCTGAGATTTTCCTGCAGTAGTGCAGGGAGAGATAATATGGAGGAGCCTCTTGCCCGTTATAAATGCCTGCACCTCCTGCCTCTGCCACCTTTTCCTGTCTCTCGGCAACTGCGTAGATTCCAGAAATAGAAATAAAGGCGAGAGGATTAAGTACAAGTTGATGCCACTGTGGCTCAAGTTCATCTCAAACCAAAAGATGGTTTCCAGTGTTTGAGACTCTAGTACTTGATAATGCAGGATCCCTCAGGCTCCATGTGGACTCTGTTCTTATCAGTCATTGAACCATGACTGGAACCATGTCCCACGTCATTCGATGAGCATATACATGCCTATTAATGTGGCACTGCTGATTAGGCATTGAGGATATGATCACTTTTTAAAGGCCCTACTAATATCTTCTGGTGGGTTGTAGTGGCTTAATCAGGACTGGCAATGAGGATGAAAATGTGGATGGATTTGATGGACATTTTTGGAAGATAGAATAAGACTTGGTCTAAAAAAGAAACTAGAGGCATTATGGAGGAAAAGATTGCTTCTTGTTAAAGTGGGAAGAAAACTTTAGAGTGGAGGTTTATTCATTTTAAATGCATTTATGTGCACTTTATTACCGATATTGGAGAAAGATGAAAAACTCCCTGACTTCAGCGAGTTTCATGGAAAAATTACTATGTTATATGACATGTAGTATGATAGAGATGTGCCCAGGTTGCTCTAGAAGTACTTAGGTGATTTCTAACTATATCTAACAGTAGGGAGAGTAGACTCAAAGAAAACGTCTTAGAAGGCCTAAGCCTAAAGAAGGCCTAGAAGCCTAAGCTAACTAATCAAACATAAAGAAAAGGGTCAGCATGTTTAAAAGTTAAGAGTGTGGTAAGTTTAAATATCACATTGTTTCTCATGTGAGAGAAACCCAAAAGGTAAATGAAGAGCATAATGGGTGGTAGATATTGAGGAGTAGGAAGAGCATGTTCAAATGGGAAGGGGAATAAGGCAGGGCTAGTGGGGAGGAAAGGAAAGGAAAAAAATGGAAACAAAGCTTGTGTAAATGGGGAGAGGAAAAAGAGTATGAAGGAAGGAGAGGAGAATGGGAAAAAAAGAATTGAGATGTGCTGTGTACAGGTACAAATTCCCTGTGATGAATGTGTAACAAATACGTACTAATAAAAAGAATGACGTTTTTTAAAAAATAAAAATGAAGGCCAGTGTGGAAAAAGTGTGGGACATTTGTACTGTGCTTTCAAACCCATTGTGCATGTGTCTGTCCATCTTTGTCTTTCTCAAAGGATTGGAGAAGAGAGCAAAGGGAACAAGGTGAAGGTCACCTAATAGATCCCACTTAGAAGTTTGTTCACCTCTCAGGAGATTTCATTGAAGAGTCTTAAATCTAGAGACAACCAGATTTGCCAGGAGACTTCACTCTGGTGATGCTATGGCTGGTAAGCCACAAGTAACAACTCTGGAGTCAGGCAGCACACATTTGAAAGCAGTTGTAGTAATTCAGATGAGAACTGATAAGAACCTAAAGAATGGAAAAGAAGAATCTGTTAAGAAGAAATACCAACACCTCGGCCTTTGAAGAGGGGAAGAAGAGCCTTTACAAGGCGCACTGTCACAGGGAGGTCAGCAGGGCATTCATTACAGTGTATGTAGGCAGTAAAGAGAAAAGGGTAAGGTAGGAGGCTTGAAAAATAGGTTAAGGTTGTACGTGAAGCAACTCATGTGCCTTGGCCAGGATTTGGGATTAATCTTACAAGTTATTGTTTTTAACTATTGCATAAGTATTTGGAACTGTATCGTAGAGAGTTGTTGACACCGGCGTGCCATCGCTTTTCTAAATACTTCAGAGTAATGTAGTTAATCTTCATAGTAACCCTTCTGGATGGATGTCATCATTATCTCCATTCTGTAAACAGGGAAACCAGTATAAACAGGAGAAAAACTTCCTTATGGTCAGTCCTATACTAGTAAACCATAGAGCCCAGATTTAAACCCAGGCAGTCTGACTCAGAACTATCACCCTTAACTTCTCGCTCAGTGTTTCTCAACCAGGGATCACAGTACAGCAGGTAGCATTTTACAGATCCAGTTGTCTAGATTGAGTGCATCAGAATGTCCTTGAATAATGCATGACAGAACCTCCACAGGTAGTTGTCTTGCATTTTCTCACACTTGAATACTGCAAGGAGTCCAGTTAGGGAAGTCCTGCCAGTGTCCAGGCAGGAGATGATGAATGCTGAAACTAAAGTCAGCTGGAAGGTAGTGGAGGAAACAGTTTTAGAAATTAAGGGGTACAATTGATTTAATGAGCTGTAAGCAATGGGGAAGAATCAAAACTGAATCCAAAGACTATCCAATTGAGTGTTTACTTTACAAGTGTGATCTCAGCCAAGGCAGGAAGAAGGGTGGGTCGGGAGTAAGAATAATGAGTATAGTTTTGAACACTTGAGTTTTAGGATCTATAGGTCATCCAGTTGAAAATGCCTTAACAAAATAAGGTTTATCTTTTGGGGTCCTTGTGTGCCAACTCTGTTAGTGTTTTAGTACTGAAACTAAAGCAGTCAGCACAAAGGAAGTGGAAGAAACCAATTTAGAGATGAGATGGAATTGGTAGTGTCCACAACATAGGAATTAAGTGTATTTGTATGGGGTATGAACCTTGCCTAGGAAAGTGAGTATAGGACCATATCTTAAATCAAGGATTAGCCTATCCCAGTGACGTTTCGTTATAACATAAGGTTATGGAGAGTGGAGAAAAGGAGGTCCACTTGTTTGGAGAAGTGTATAGAGGATTTTGATTAAAGTAGAATGAATGATCCCTGAGCATAATTTTAGGCTCATGCTATTATTTTACTTCTCTACTTTAGGTCCCTTGGGAGAAACTCCTTGAGGTGTCCAGGTTGAGTTGGGGTGATGCCAGTGTGAAACCTAGATGCTGTGAAACCACCCCAGAACCAGGAAATGGCTACAGCCTTGGAAACAGAGGACCAGGATCTTTGGGAAGAAGAGGGAATTCTGATGGTGAAACTGGAAGATGATTTCACCTGCAGGCCAGAGTCTGTCTTACAAAGGGATGACCCTGTGCTAGAGACCTCTCACCAGAACTTTCGACGTTTTCGCTACCAAGAAGCAGCAAGTCCTCGAGAAGCTCTCATCAGACTCCGAGAACTCTGTCATCAGTGGCTAAGGCCAGAGAGACGGACAAAGGAGCAGATCCTAGAGCTGCTTGTGCTAGAGCAGTTTCTCACTGTCCTACCTGGAGAACTGCAGAGCTGGGTGCGGGGCCAGCGGCCAGAGAGTGGCGAGGAGGCCGTGACACTGGTGGAGGGTTTGCAGAAAGAGCCCAGGAGACCAAGGCGGTGGGTGAGGAGGGGGAGTCCTGATCTGTGTGATGTGGAGGGGGACTGACACTGGAAAGCTGGATCAGTGGGGGAAACAGGGCCCCCTAAATTATCCATTAATCAGCCTTGCCCTTGGGTGCTCCTAGATCCATAAACCCCATAGGGCTGGTGTGTGTGTGTGTGTGACTTTCTGGCTTGTGGCTTTGGTTTTCTTTCTTTGGATGTTGAACCTCAGATTCCTGGGGAAGAGAATTCTATGACTTCCTCTAAAGTCTCCTAGACCCTTAATCTTAGACCACCTTCCAGAATGGTAAACTGGCAAAGCAGATCCAAGAGGTGGGTAGAAGTGGGAAGGATGAGGACCTCAGAACTCTGGGTAATAGGAGCAAGGGTCAAGGCAAGTGAGAAAGCAGTACACTACCTGAGTGCCCCACTGCCTTGTCCTGGTGAGAGTCATTTTCAGCTCTTTGCTTGCCCTGGTAGAACTGAACCTTCCCTTCATCTGGGTCCATCTGGGAATTTTTCCATAGGTGCATTCTAAAATAAATGCTGATAATAACCAGGAATTTCTTCCTGACTCCATGGTGACTGGAAGTTGAAATTCTTCCCAGGTAACCGTCCATGTTCATGGCCAGGAAGTTTTGTCAGAGGAGACATTGCACCTGGGGGCAGAGCCTGAGTCACCCAGTGAGCTAAAGGATCCAGCTCAGACCTCAAGCCCTGAGCAATCACATGAGGAAGCCAACCAGAGCCCAGATCAGGGGACACCAGAACGGCAGAGCCTGCACTGTGAAGAGGAGCTCCAGCCCCTGCAGGAGAACGGTGGGAAGCCTGAACAGGAAGAGGGGATTGTGGCAGAGTACAGGGAGAGGGGAATCTGCAGACTGTAATGGAGAGAAATCACAGAATCCCAGAAGTTGAGACAATACCAGCTGGAATCCCACCCAAATGGGGCCAAGCTTAAATAGCGATATTCTGGCTTGCTCTTTTGGTGCTCTGATCAAAAGAACACCAAAAGGTGGGGGACATTGTGATGGCTTTGTCACCTTAGGCAAGTTTTCTGATTCCCATAACGGAAGTTAGGGCCACTTTCCAACCAAAGATGATGGATGCTTGGGTATTTGCCATTTATCAGGGTGCATTGCATGTTGCTGATTTCTTGCCTTCTTTTCTTCTTAGAGGTTCCAGTGCTCCAGGACCCAGACCCTCCTGCAGAGAGGCGCTCTGGAGACCCAGAGATGGTTGCCCTTCTGACTGCTCTGTCACAGGTGCGCCCCAGTTCCCTCTGCACAATAGTTTGTTGAAAGAACTATTGGGTATTGCCCATATGCTAAACAGATCAGGTGGGATCCAAAGTTACCACTCTCCTTCTGCAGTTTAAGTTCTCAGTTCTGCAGGTCCGTGGAAGGGTAAAAGAAATGATAAATTATAATGATCTCTATTGGATCTGCAGACTCCATAGCTTCTTTATCTGCCACTCGCCAGAGGAGCTAACAAGTGGAATTATTTTATACCTTTCCAGTACAGCTTTGAAGTTGTTAAGTGAAGGGGTTTTGCTTTTAGGAGTAAATTTGCTAGTCATTTATAAAAATGACTGATTTCACTGCCATGACATTTATAAGGCATTCATCATGTTCAGAGCCCTAAAACTAAACTATGTGGCTGGAGGAGGGGAGAGAGAATTCATCCATGGTTTTGCATTGTAGTCTAGCTGAGGAAAAAGTCTTATTCTTTAGAATGTAAGTGAAAGGATGAGTAGGTAGGGTTAATTGGGAATAGCTTTTAGGAAAAGGTGAATTTTTACAGAGATGAATGTAGCATTAAAACTTCAAATAGTTGAGTGATGCACTTTCTTGAGTTTTAAATAGTACTGTAACAAAGAAGAAAAATATAGACTAGTCCACAGGGAGCTGGAGGAGCAGGCCTAAGGCCAGTGCTTTCCCAGAAGTAGGAAATGAGACAAGCCCGGGCATAGCTTCCTGGGAGGAAACCTCATGGCCTATTAGAGGTACTTTTGTCTCCTGGATAGATTCTGCTTATACATATGACTTCATCCCAGAAAAAACTGTGAGTCTACCAGAAGCATCGAATTCTGATTTGATCCTTGTGTTGATTCAGGGACTGGTAACGTTCAAGGATGTGGCTGTATGCTTCTCCCAGGACCAGTGGAGTGATCTGGATCCAACACAGAAAGAATTCTATGGAGAATATGTCTTGGAAGAAGATTGTGGAATTGTAGTCTCTCTGTGTAAGGAATTTCATGTGTTTCTAGAGCATTTTAAGCACAGAGATATCTTTTCCTCTTAGAAATTTGGGGGATCTTAGACCTTAGATTATGTGCACTTGAACGTCTTTTATGTTTACCCCACCAATGAACTTAAAGGCTGATTAGCTGAAGCAGATGGTATCTTTCCAGGTTAAAAGGAAGAGATTAAATGCTTAGAAACATGGATGGAAATTTCTAATAAAAAAGCTGTAGTAATAGCCTTAGTACAGAATATTTGAGGTAAGCATATAAGTTTTCAAACAAGCAGAAGAGTGGAAGATAATCTGCTTTCCTAAATATGAGGAAAGGGGCTAAGATTTACCCTCTTATTATTGAAGTAATTATTGAATTGCAGGTGAAAGGCCCAAGAAAGACAGTATTTTGTTAGAAGAAACCAAACAGTTGACCAACTGTGTTTGGTCTGCAACCTACCAACCAGAAAAGATATGTTCTTAACTCAGGGAAGTGTTGAACTAGTCGTGATGTCCTGTTCTCCCTTTCTTGAGCAGCATTTCCAATCCCCAGACTAGATGATATCTCCCAGGTTAGAGAAGAAGAGCGTCAGGTCCCAGATATCCATGAGCCTCAAGAGCCTGAAGAGCCAGAAATCCTGAGTTTTACCTACACAGGTGAGGAATGACAGCAAGGGTCTTACCACTCTGAGTGGGCAGTTCCTCGAGTCAGTGCTTCTCTTTCCTCCTAGGGCCCCCTCATTGGTTCTTCCAGCATGTCAGCCATTGCTGTCATCTCCCTCTGAAAGCCAGACTCTTCTGTCATTTTCCTCTTCACCCTTCTCAACATTTGTTTGAGGGCTAGGCAATGCAAAGAAATATGAAACAACTAAACTTCTGAATCACTGTTATACCATTTCCTACCCAGTTCTTAAACCCTTGATCCTCAGTCTCTGCATTTGTAAACTGAGGGTGATGATATCGTCCATGCCAAGTTTTGTTGATGTCATAACATATAAGAACATGGGCCATGATGGGCATTCAATTAATTATTTCCTTCTTTCCCCACTTTACATTTAGGAAATACATGCTTTTTCAATGTGGCCTTACCCTCAAAACCCTTTTTAAAATCCCCTCATTGTGTAGAAAGCATTGTTGCCGTTATAATTGTCCTTTTCTCCTCTCATCCCTTCTACAGGAGACAGAAGTGAAGATGAGGAGGAGAATGTTGGGCAAGAAGTTCTCACCTTGGAGGACGTGCACAGGTCTAATTTGGGAGATCCAGAAATCCACCGGACTCCAGATTGGGAAATCGTCTTTGAGGATAACCCAGATAGAACTAATGAAAGAAGATGTGGTACAAATATTTCTCAAGTTGATAGTTTCTTGAATCTTCAGGAAACCATCCCTGTCCACCCCTTGCTAGGGAAGCAGCATGAGTGTCCTGTGTGTAGGAAAAACTTCACATGTAACTCTCACCTTATTAGGCACCTGAGAACTCACACAGGAGAGAAGCCCTATAAATGTATGGAGTGTGGGAAAAGTTACACACGGAGCTCACATCTTGCCAGGCACCAGAAGGTTCACAAGGTAAACACTTATAAATATCCCCTAAATCAGAAGAATGTGGACAAGACCTCTCCACTGAACCATGGTGAGAGAACACCATCTGTGGAGAAACCCCATAGATGTAATGATTGTGGAAAACATTTCCGCTGGACTTCAGACCTTGTTAGACATCAAAGGACACATACAGGGGAAAAACCTTTCTTCTGTACTGTTTGTGGCAAAAGTTTCAGCCAGAAATCTGTGTTAACCACACACCAAAGAATCCACCTTGTAGGCAAATCCTACTTGTGTGGAGAGTGTGGAGAGAACTTCAGTGACCACAGGCGGTATCTGGCACACCAAAAGACACATGCAGCTGAGGAGCTCTACCTCTGCAGCAAATGTGGGCGCTGCTTCAACGACAGCACAGCATTTGCCAAGCACCTGAGAGGACATACCTCAGTGAGGCAGTGCCGGTGCACTGAATGTGGAAAAAGCTTCAGTCGGAGGGACCACCTGGTCAGGCATCAGCGCACACACACTGGAGAGAAACCATTCACCTGCCCTACCTGTGGGAAAAGCTTCAGCAGAGGATATCACTTAATCAGGCATCAAAGGACCCACTCAGCAAAGACCTCCTAGCGAGGTACCCATGTGAGAAGATCTTCATTCAGCCATCACCCAGGATGGGACAAGAGAAGCTCTTGGGCAGCCTGGGAAGCCCTTTCCTAAGGTGTCTCCCAGACCTGCCAGACCTTACAGCACCTCTTCCCACCACCAAATAAAAGCTTCAAGCAGAACCTCTAACCCTGTTCTGCGCCATGAGCTGATGGTTTTCCCAAGGTATAACCTGAATTGAGGCTTCTTCTTCACTGAAGTACTCCTGCCTCTACCTCATGGGTGTTAAAATAGAATTAGATGACTGAAGAGATTGTAGTCACTCTTATTTTCCAAATAAATAGACTGTTACATATCCTCAAAACTACTTACCAGCCTCATGTTTAAAGTGGCCAAGGACAGCCCCTTAGGTCTGGAAGGGACTGGCCTGAAGGGTTCTGTCATTCCTGGGCTCAAATCTTAAAGCACACAGCCGTGAACTCGAGACAGGAGATTTGCATCCTGGTGACTTTGCCATACACAGGATAGCGTACAAATCCTTTACTGTCTGACCCACTTCTTTACCATGCACTTTCCTTTGATGCTAGGGAGAGATGGGAGGAAAGGGCAAACCCCTCACAGCTGCTTTATATGTACCTTGGCAAGCTGCTCTCATCTCCACTGTCAAAATGGTATCAGATGCTGGCCATTGCCAGAATGGAAGGCCTGGTCAGAAGCCTTTTTCCTTGTGGGCATTTTTTTATTTGTGTGTTTGTTTTCCTGCCTTTAGCCTTCTTATTATTCAATAGTCTTATTTTGTCCCTAGCACTTCTACTGTAAGTGAGATGTAGAACTTGAGGGATTCCATAAAGCATAATTAAATCATGATGAAATCATCTACATTCCCACGTGTGTATAAGCCCATGCCCCAGACAACTCGCCTTCACATGGTTTGTGTGAAGGGATTTGGAACAGTGTCATCATATAAAGGCTCTGTAACATTTATAGAATTGTGATTGTCTGATCACTTCATTTACTTGAAGAAAAGTGGAGATCTAAGATTACACTATAGAAAAATAGGGAAAAGCTGTTGCTGCTGGCCAAACCATCAGGACTACTCATAGTCCCCATCATCCCTGCCTCATTTCCCTGATGTCGGGAAATGATGAACCCTATCACCTGGGGCGCTGTGGAGTCACAGGAGTAAATGGCTCTCATCTGTATTGTTTGCTTTTTCTTATGTGATTTTATTAGTGTGTAACAAAGAAATAGTATCTCCTCATGGCCCAAAGGTCTCTTTTGCCTGTTCAAGGTTCCATGGAGAGGAGGCTGAATAATTAATGAACCTCACCTGCTCTGTTTGTGGGAGTGGCAAGGACTGGAGAGTCTTCCTCCATAAATGGAGCACAGGGTATGGAAATAAAGCATGAGAAGGGAGACAGTCTTCTGTGCCTGGTTTCTTCTGCTTATTTCACAATCCACTGTGTGCTGTTGTACACCAGAGGAATGTAGTGGGTTAACAAGACCCCAGCCCTAACAGTCCAACAAGGAAGTTCTCATTTGGGCCAGTAATGATATTCTGATAGACTGGTTTAGTTTTAATACCAGCCATCCTTCTGAAGTAATACTAGCAAGCAAGTTCCTTACCTTTCAAGCACCTTCCATTTTATCCATTCGCTTTCCAAGACATCGGGATTCCAATGCTTCTGAAGATCCATCTTATATAGATCTAGGAGTACAGAGTAGTTTTTCCATGAGGATAATGAAGGCTTGGAGTGGTTAGTGTCACAGGTAGAACATACGTGGACACCAAGACCCAATCCTGGAGTTTGCAGAAGAGGTAGGCATTTCACAGTTTGTGCTGGGAGAAATGTCAGCATCAGAAGATAATTTCTCTTACCTCATACCATTTACAGAAGCTGATGGAATGCTGAAGGTGACAGAATGAATAGACTTCTCTCTCCTTAAACTGCATGATTGCAATAAGAAAATCTTATTAAGAGATTTCTACATAAGGGAAAAGTTTGAAGAGACTGGTCAAATTTTTGGAACATTAAATACTACAATACTTCTATTGATGATCCCCTGGAAAATTTCATATGCTGACACTAAAGCTCTCGTCCCTTTTGTAAGTCATTTTCTGAGGTTCCTGGAAAAATGTACCATCTCCCAAATCTAAAAATAAGACAGTTTGCAGTAGCAGGGATTGCAGAAATCTAGAGGGATGCAATGCAGCTGACGCAGGGAGGTGGAGCCAGAATTTTAGAACACATTCTTACAGCATTTAACATAATTGTTAATTATATGCTGCCGCAAAGTCTTAAAATATTGAAGGATGGGTATGATATAAAAGTTCTCTATCAACAAAACATATTATTTGGAAATAAAAATTACCGTGTTTGGAGACTTTAAAATGCCCTTAAATCTTGGATCAAGAAGAGATCAGAATAAACATTTTCTAACTCTTCGAACTAACATGAAATGTAAATATGTGTCAAAATTTGTAGGATGCAGTGAAAATGATACTTAGGAAAAGCTTCAAAACTAATGGGCTGATTTTTGACTTAAAATGTTAAACTAAAAATGGAAAGTGGGTAACTGAAGAAATTAATAGCAAAAATATACAGTATGTTAAACTAAAAGTTGCTTCTTTCAAAACACAACTAAACCTCTGTCAGTATTGATTGAGATGGAATTATAGAGACAATGACCAATTAAGCTACAGGGTGAATAATATAATCTATTGATTTTATGAAGCAAAAATAGTGTCTCAATGAAAATACATGGCAGCAGTAACAACACGGAGAGTAGAGTTAAAATGTTCTATGGTTCAGACATTGAAAAAAGGGTTAAGTCCTGTTCTCTTCGACAAGAATAATAAAAGATAAATATTTTTTGATCTCTATGGTAATCATTGAATAGAGTAAAAAAGGTAACTTATGGGTTAATAAAGGAAAAATAATGTAGAAAAAAATGCAAATGAAGGCAAGAAATGAGAGAAAAGGAAATATAAAATAGGTATGCCAAGTAGATAAATAGATGGTAGCTAAGGACCCAAATATATAAATAATTACATTAAATGTAAGGATTAAATACTTTGATTTCAGACCAAGTTAACACACACACCCAAATATACCTTAAAGAACACACAGCAAAGCTGAACATAAAACCATTTTTAAAATGAATTGTCCTCTGAGCCAGGGATTTAGCTCAGTGGTTCTGGCACCTGCCTTGCAAGTGCAAGGTCCCGAGTTCGATCTCCGGTACCAAAAAAAAAAAATTGTCCCTGGAGAATGGATATAGCAAACACCCATAAAAAGAATAAGAAAAAAAATATTTTACTACAGTGTGAGAGGTGGAGAGAAGATTGCAAAGGAAGAACTTCCTGAGCCTAAGATGAGCACATTTTGGTAACGGATCAAACTCAGGACCTTGCACTTGTGAGGCAGGCGGCGGCACCACTGAGCTAAATCCCCAGCCAAGATAAGTACATTTTGGGGGAGAGAATGGGACTTTGTGGGGGAAGAGTATAGAAAGAATAGGAAGCATCTGCCTTCTATTAGTTTGGGATTCCTTTTTAGTCACCGCTTGTTTCTTGAGCATAGCCTTTCATTCAGTGCTGGATGCTAAACATAACATTTTGGATCATCAAAATAAGTGTTGTAGGCACTTTTTTCTTATTTCATCGATTAGGAAACCAAATCTAAAAGACAGAAGTAACTTTTCAAGCCTATTAATCATTCCTGGAATGAGTTTTTAAAAATTAGGGCTTTCTGCCTCCAAATCCAAGTATTTCCACAACAGCAGACCTTCTAGAATACAGAATAATGTATAAGGGCAAGAGGAAGAAGGGAATCAAAAAGAAAAACATTCTGGTAGTTGTATCAATCAAGGACTGCTACAGAATATCACAAGATGTTAGTGGTTTACAGTAATGAGCGTGTGTTGGGCTTCTGTGTTTGCAGGTCAGTAGAGTAGCAGAAGCTGACCTGGGCTGGTTTTGATGGGTGGCTGTGCTTCTCCCTAATGGTCTGTGGATTAGCTAAGCAGCTCTGCTCCACATGTCTGGTTCTCTCCCTGGGCCCAGTGTGGCCAGCCAAAGTGCATTACTCTTGTGGTGACTGTAAGGTACAAGAAGTCCTACCACCAAGTGCACGTCAAGCCACAGGACCCGAGTCCACTGACAAAAGTGAGTTTCATGACATGGCAGAGCCCAAAGTCAAAGGGCGGAGATTTCCCTATGCCTTTAGTGGAAGGGACAGCTAGATTATATGTCAAAAGGTGTGGCTGTAACGAGGGGTAAAAACAAGGACTCAAATCCACTCTGCCATTCTCCAAGCAAGAATCACAGTTCATTTGTTTCAGCACTTTACATTCATACTGATTTAGAAAATACTTGTTTTTATAAAAAGTCTCCTTATAAAAAGTTTAGCCCTCATATCTACACAAGAACAATAAAGCATTTTTGGTTTTCTTTTCAGAGCAAGGAATGAGATCAAAAGCATTCTTAGCAACGATCAGTGAAGTATCAAGATAACCCATGTAACTTTATAGAAAAATCAAAAGCAAACTTAACTGCTCATAAATCTAGTCCCCTGACAAGGTGTCATTTATTCATTCACTGAACACATACTTGTTGAGAGTATTCTATGTCCTGGGAATTATAATGGACTCTATTGGCTGTGCACTATTAACAAAATTGAATGTAACAAAAGCTCAGGGATGAAGTGGAAGATACAAGAGTTAAACACAACATTCATGGAGGGCTATGGAGACCCAAGTGACAAGTGACATTATTTCTCAGGTAAGAAACATAGAAAAAAGGGAAATGCATAACAAGAAGATCCTGAGCTCAGTCTGAGTCATACTGAGTGTGAGGCAATGCTGGGTTATCCCATAAGAAGTACTCTGTGGTGTAGGAAGAAGCCCGGCAAGGAGATACACATTTGGAAGCAGCACACAATACAGGTAAGTTCGGGGCATGGGCATGGATGAGAACTTCTCAGACAAAATGTTTATAGATTCAAAAGAGAAATTTAGCAATGCTTAAGGAGCAATTGATGGAGTAAGCAAAGAAAACAGGAACAACAGAGTAATGAGAGGAGAGGACTGTTGAAAAACTCCAAGAAAAGAAAAATTTAAAGGAGGAAGTGGTCAATGTTGTCAAATGCCATAGATATGTCAATTTGGATGAGGACTAAAAGCATTTGATTTAATAATTAGATCAATTATGAAATTTGTAAGAGGAATTAGGTGAGCAATTAGCCATAGAAGAAGAGGCTAGGAGTACAGAGTACTTTTTCAAGAAACGGGAAGACAAAAATATATATGACAGTTTGGGGAGACACAGTGTCAAGAAAAAAGATGTGGGAGTTTTTTGGTCTAAAGGACACTTGATGCATGGAGGAGTCAAACTGCCTTTATTGAGCACCTGGTATGGCCCAGGCTCCGTGCTAGGAGGGATATTTATGCATATTGTCAGCTGAGGAGATGGAAACATGTTTAAAGGTTAGGGATAGCTGAGGAAGTAAATGTGTAAGAGGATAGGATCAAAAGTACAGGCAAGGGGCTGGGGATTTAGCTCAGTGGTTCCGGCGCATGCCTCGAAATCACAAGGTTCCGAGTTTGATTCCCGGTTCCAAAAAAAAAGGTACAGGCAAAGGGATTAGCACTGAAATATATTTTATTCTGAAACAAGAGGGAAATATATTCAGGTGAATATGAAATGTGATTAGCTCATAAATAAAGGAAAATCAAGAGAATCCATGTCTGCTGGTTCTATTTTCTCCTGTGGTGAATGCTAACTTTAGTCCTCTGAAAATAAGGGCTATGGGGTAAAGAAATGGACTCAGAGAGTGAAAGTTTTTGACTAAAGAACAGAGATAATGGATTGGTTAAGTAGAAGTTCTGATAAATTTTGAGGGTCCAAATGAAGTCTTTCTTTTTGTCTTTTCCTTTTTTCTTCTCTCCCCCCCCCCCCCCCCCCCTTTTTGTACTAAAGATTGAATCCAAGGCCTTCACGTTGAGCTACATTCCCAACCCCTTATTTTTTATTTAGACACATGGTCTTGCTAAATTGCCCACACTAAGCTTGAACTCACAACCCTCCTGCCTCAGCCTCCTAGAGTGCTGGGATTACAGGTATGGCCCACCACACCCAACTATTGTGTTCTTGAGGTAGGATTAAAATGCAGTTTAGGTTGTCAGGTTTAACTGAACAGCAAGCTCAGGAGTGACTAGCTACATACAGCCTCTGGCTCAACTGCCTTTCTCTAAACCTCTATAGCCACTTAAACCTCTGCAGGCAGAAGCTCATGACAACATAAACACATATTTTGTTAGGCTGGATTGCATTTTAATTGACACAAGCCTATAATTAACATTTGCAGACCTACAGTGAATGAGAAAACACCCTCATATCTCCTTAGATATTTGTATTTATCCACTGGTGATTTTTTTTTATTTTTTGAAGAGTGGATTAGTAGTCTCAACTTTTCAACTAGATTTTATCATTTGAGAGAATTTGGTGGAAGAGTAATTATTTCCAGGGGTCAGAACAAAATTACCATAAAGAATGTAGCTGACAAGAGCCAGGGATTTAGCTCAGTGGCGCCAAACCTGCCTCACAAGTGCAAGGTCCTGAGTTCAATCCCCAGTACCAGAAAAAAAAAATGTTGCTGAACTCTAGTCATCTACCATTCTATCTAAATAAAAACGACAGCTCCATCAGCTAGTCGTACTATGGAGAAAGCTGCTACTTGAACAAGGAAAGTAATTGTACATAATTGCTAATGTAGAAAATTGTGTTACTAAACTAACCACCAACTGTGATTTTGTATAAATAACTATTGCTCTATATAAATAATATAAAGACTGCAATAATTGTATAATATGATAACAATTGTGCTTGTATAACTATATATATTATTACCAATCTGCCTGTGTTATAATAGGGAGCATATCAATTACAAGGCCACACAGCCACTTCATCATGGGCTATTGGAGAGGGGAAAATGATAGAGTACACATAATCCAGTAGTTCGGATTACCAGAGCCAGATGAAAAGCCTCCTTTTCCTGCATCCCGAAAGTCTTTAATGAATGACCACTATGGGACAGGTGCTGTGTGAGGTGTTGTAACATCACACTGAATGGAAGAGACAATGACCCCAACCCTCAGGGAGCACCCAAAACAGTGAGAAGAGCAGTCAACAAAATAAATGCTTTCTTGCATTATATAGCTTATTAAAAGGAGATAAATGCCTAGAAGGAGAATTAAACAAGGAAAGAGGAGAGGGAGTGGAAGGATAAAGGAAGGCCTCATTGGAGAAGGCTCTACTGAGATGGTGACATTTGAAAAGAGATGTGAAAGTGTTGGTGGAGCGAGTCCTGCAGATATTCAGGGAAAAACATTCTGGAGAGTGAAGAGCAAGCGTGAAGTTCCCATGGGAAAGCAGTAGGAGATGCAGCTCGGGAGTTAGTGAGGAGCCAAATCATAGCCCCTTAGAAGCCAATGGCATGGCCCTTTATTCTGGCTTTTATTCAGAAGAAGGCAGGGAGCTTCCAAAGAACTAATATATGATCTCGCAACAATTATAGACAAGTGGATAACTGAGACCAGACTCGAGGGGCAGAGATGGAAGAAGAGAGGCCACCGTCAGGCTAATAGTCTGAGGACAGGGGCAGTGGGAGTGAGCAGAGGTGGCACAGCTCAAATTGTAAACTGCTGGCAGAATTAACACAATTTGCTGGCAGATGTGACATTTCAAAAAAGATGAGTTCAAGATAACTCTAAGATTTTGGCCTGAGTAAATGGGAGAAGATGAATGCCAGCGATTAAGATGGGAAAACTCTCACCAGTAGCATCAGGAGTGTGGTTTGAACTGGCGTGTTTGAGATG